AAGAAGCTTCTTGGATGAGAAGCGTCTTCAAAGAAAACCAAGAAAGTCCAGTTGTCTCTTGAAAAAGCATCTTTGGGACAACCATGATCTGGATGACTGAGAATCTCCATAGATACTATTTTTCACAGTTACAACCTTTGAAGCATCCCCGTGATCTCGTGATCAAAATTCAGATGCTTGGCAACAGATTCATACTTATGACCATTGCTGTGTCCCAAGGTTACATGAATACCTTTTGCAACCTGCTGACAAGATAAGTATTCACTTAACCAGGTTATTAATTTATCAATTGCAGTGATTCACTTAACAACTGTGGCAAGGAAGGTCATAAAATGGGGCAAAACTCACTTAACAAATATCTTGCTTAACAACAGAAATTTTGGGCTCAATTGTGGTTGTAAGTTGAGGACTACCTGTAGTTAAATTAGAGGGCAATCCCAAGCGTAGTAGAAGTTTCAGGTGAAGGTTTAAGTTGTGTCACTTGATATCGCTTTAATTCAGGGGTCTTCAAACTTGGCCCTTTTATGACTTGTGGACTTCAACTCCCAGAATTCCTCAGCCAGCCATGCTGGCTGAGGAATTCTGGGAGTTGAAGTCCACAAGTCATAAAAGGGCCAAGTTTGAAGACCTCTGCTTTAATTGTTCCACCCATAAATCAATGAAATAGGAATGTTGATCAGTTGATTTACTCTCAGTTGTGACCATGCACAACTTTGATCAAATAATTATAGAATAAAAGCTGTCACAGCTCCTAAGCTGCATTTTATCTGTAGGAGAAGGGGACATTAGGCTGCAGCTCTGGAAGGTCTCCTTGCTTTATACAATGCTGACTTTGGAGATTGAAAAGAGAAAGCATGGTTGGGCACAAGGGGAAATTTTAATACAGTAATCTCAGAGGAGAATCCTCACTTTAAGGATAGAAAAAGCCCGAACAGCATTCTTCAAAACGAAAAAGGTCTTCTGCAGTCACGACATAAGCCTAAGACTGAAAATCAGGCTTGTCAGATGCTATATTTTTTCCATCCTGCTCTATGGAGTAGAGAGTTGGTCTCTGACAGAAGGCCACCTGAAGAGACTAGAAGCATTTGAAATGTGGATTTACAGGTGGCTGTTACGTATAAGCTGGGTTGACAAGATCAGAAATGAGGAGGTGATAAGCCGTCTGGGAAAGCCAAGGGAAATCATCAAAACAATTAAAAAACAAAAATTAGAATATTTCGGACATGTGATGCGACACCCAGAAAAATACGGCATACTCCATTTAATCCTCCAGGGAAAGATTGAAGGCAAACGAGGTCCAGGCAGAAGAAGAACATCGTGGCTTCAAAATCTAAGGGACTAGTTTGGACAAAACTCAGCAGCACTTTTTCTTGCAGCTGCTGATAAAAACAGGATTGCCAACATGATCGCCAACGTCCAATAACGGATATGGCACAAGAAGAAGAAGTAGTGTAGGGAATTTACATGAATTTTTTGTGCAATCAAAAGGCACATTTTCATCACAAAACTGTTTTATTGGCATTTTACTGGATTTCCCATTAAAATCTGATATCGAAATCATGGTACCGTTATACAGTTGTTGAGCACTGAACTTCAGTGATATAATTTGGGGGAGGTCGAGAGACCCCTTCGTGGCTGTGGGTGTTTGCACTTGTGATCTGACATTCCTCAACTCAGCTTTCTGATCCATGCTCCCAGGGAATGAGAGGAATTGTAGTTCAATGCATGTGGCAGATGATAGCTTGAAAAAAAAAACTCATCTAAAGAGATGCATTTGGAGCAACATCGTCCAAGTTTGGTGTAGATGGTGCTTAGACCAATAACAATGTCAGCTTATCCATGCTCCTTGAGTTAAATGATAAGGAAAAAAAATATAGGTGCAATAATTTGTTCTGACAGCTCTGACTCTCAAGCATATAATAATAATAATAATAATAATAATAATAATAATAATAATAATAATAATAATAATAATAATAATAATAATAATAAAGTTGGAAGGGACCTTGGAGGTCATCTAGTCCAACCCCCTGCTCAGGCAGGAAACCCTATACCATTTCGGACAAATGGCTGTCCAGTCTCTTCTTAAAAACTTCCAGTGTTGGAGCATTCACCACTTCTGGAGGCAGGTTGTTCCACTGGTTAATTGTTCTAACTGTCAGGAAGTTTCTCCTTAGTTCTAGGTTGCTTCTCTCCTTGCTTAGTTTCCATCTGTTGCTTCTTGTCCTGCCCTCAGTGCCTTGGAAAATAGCTTGACTCCCTCTTCTTTGTGGCAGCCCCTTACTCATTTAATGCATGGGCTTGGAATATTCCTAAATAGAGAAGCATTTTTTCTGATGCTCACAGAATCTAGTGCAGTGGTTCTCAACCTTTTTAATGCCGCGACCCCCAACCGGTCGTAAGCCGAGGACTAAACCGGTTGTAAGTCGAGGACTAAACCGGTCGTAAGTCGAGGATTACCCAACCGGTCGTAAGTCGACGACTTTCCCTGCCCGGGAGCGCCGCACATGCGTGGTTCTGCCCCCTGCGCCGGCCGAGGCGTAGCTGGCAAGCGGCAGAGATGGAGCAGGCCGACCACAAGCTGGCCCAGCTCAAGGGAGGTAAGGCACCTGCTAGAAAAGGGGAAAAAAATGGCGGACAGCCTTGCTTGGCGACCCCCATGAAATGGTCGATCGACCCCAAATGGGGTCGCGACCCATAGGTTGAGAACCACTGACCTAGTGTGATGGTCTCCTTTAGATTGTCTTGTTTTTAATTTGAGGAATGACATCACTGGAAAAAAAAATAGTGCCTGGATCTTCAGGATGAACACCAGGGAGGAGAGCTTGACTATCTCTATTGCATATGTTTGTATTTCTATTCTTAGTTGTGAGTCATAATTGATGACACTTGCATCACTGCAGTAGCCGGGCAGTAATTCTGATGAGCTGGGCGACTTAAATGTCTAACAGTGCCTGGTAAATTGAACCTCCATATTCAGAGTCAACACAGGTTGCCTTTGACTTAGGACAGGGGTAGGCAACCTTGGCTCTTTTATGACTCGTGGACTTCAACTCCCAGAATTCCTGAGCCAGCCATGCTGAGGGGAAAGGGAGAGGTTTCCAAGCTGAGCCATGGTTGGCTGAGGAATTCTGGGAGTTGAAGTCCACGAGTCATAAAAGAGCCAAGGGTGCCTACCCCTGATTTAGGACTACAATTGGGATTGTAATTTTGGTTATAGGTCATTGCAGTTGTAATTGGAGGCACCATGTGACCAGACTCAATTTTATGACCGTTTATATGATGTTCATTAAATAAGTCACCACAGGCAATAAGCAACTGCAGTGTGCTTGTTAAGCGAGGCACCTAGTCACAGGGGTGGACTCATTTTACCCAAAGGACATTTTTTTTGGTGAGAAAACAGCCATAAATGTTGCAAAATGAGATTGCATGACTAGGGTGCAGCAGTTGTAACTTTGAGGATAGGTAATTTTGAGTTTGTTGTAACTTTGAAAGGTTGTTAAGCGACCGGTCGTAAGTTGAGGACTCCTTGTATACCAGAACTGGGAACAAATAACAGGTCTGCTTCTTCTATGTTTCTTTCTTTGCTTCTTTGAAACTTCTGAAAGGAGACAGTGTGTAGGATGGGCTGACAGGCCCTTGGCCTATTCAGAATTAGACATTTCTTACGGTATGTTTTTGAGTGATTTGAATGAAATACAGACAATTTCACCATCTAGGATTGGTGATGTGGATTGTGCACAGATAATCCCGGATTTACAACAGTTCATTTAGTGACTGAAGTTATAATGACACTGAAAAAAGTGACTTATGACCACTTCTCACACTTACGACCGTAGCAGCATCCCCATGGTCACATGATCAAAATTCAGATGCGTGGCAACTGACTCATATTTATGACGGCTGCAATGTCCCGGCGGTCATTGTGACCACCTTTTGCGACCTTATGACAAGCAAGGTCAATGGGGAAGCCAGATTTATGTAACAACCCGTATGACTAACGACTGCAGTGATTTACTTAACAACTGTGGCAAAAAAGGTCGTAAAATGGGGCAAAATTCACTTAACAACTGTCTCACTTAGCAGCGGAAATTTTGGGCTTAACTGTGGACGTACGTTGAGGACTACCTGTCTAACTACAACTTGCAGGTGCTCTGTAATCAACATGAGTCTGCCTGCTTCATTCCTAACAAATCAGATCATGGTTTCACTCTGCTTGAGCTTATTTCACCAATATTTCACCGAAACACCCAAGTTATTTTTTAATCCGTCTCATGACCAGCTCTTTTATTACAGGGTGGATTTTCCCAGAAGCAAAGTGTATGTGGAGCCACAGATTTGGCTTGTAGCCCTCTTTGTGTTATAACGCTGCTAGTGTGTCACTTCCAGTCCCTTCTGGCTGGAATCTAGGAAAATAAAGACAATAGCAGCATGTGAGTGATTTCCTTGCCTGGAACGTTTGGTATTTATTAGAACCGATCAAGGGCTTGAACTAGGAAATGAATAAGGCCGCTAAGTCAAGTTGAAATCACTCACCATCAAGCTTGAGCGATAGAGGAAAAGACTCATATAGGTTTATGAATATAGAACAATAGAGTTCTAGGTTGCTTCTCTCCATGGTTGGTTTCCATCCATTGTTGCTCATCCTACCTTTTGGTGCTTTGGAAAATAGTTTGAACCCCCCTCGTCTTTGCAGGAGCCCCTCAAATATTGGAACATTGTTATCATATCCTTATTTTCATTAGACTAGATCGGGGGCCTTCAAACTTGGCCCTTTTATGACTTGTGGACTTCAACTCCCAGAATTCCTCAGCCAGGCACGCTGGCTGAGGAATTCTGGGAGTTGAAGTCCACAAGTCATAAAAGGGCCAAGTTTGAAGGCCCCTGGATTAGTACCCAATTCCTGTAACTGTTTTTTGTTAACTGCCTCTTTCTTCAACTTTTTTCACAGGCATGAAAGCTCAGTTATTGATGTAACCAGTCCACTGGTCGGAGGTAGGATGGGACCCAGGACGCTTTGCCTTTTGCTGTTGATCTCTGTAGGGGCCTCGGAGTTGGAAGAGCACTTTGATCCAGGTAAGAAGTAGAAGCCGAGAGAGAAAAGGGCAGCGGTTCAAAACAGCTGGCCGGCATCAGGATTCAACTCTGTTTTTCAGTTCTAGGAGAAGCAGGTGAATTAAATTCCCCAAATCCACAGAGCCTGAATTAACCAGAAGAGCCTTTAGTGCAGGGGTCTTCAAACTTGGCCCTTTTATGACTTGTGGACTTCAACTCCCAGAATTCCTCAGCCAGGCATGCTGGCTGAGGAATTCTGGGAGTTGAAGTCCACAAGTCATAAAAAGAGCCAAGTTGGAAGACCCCTGCTTTAGTGCATCCTATCATTGCACAGTTTGGGAGAAGATGAACTTTTCAAATCTGGGAAGTTAGGAAGAGGAACTTCAGCCCAGCTTCCCCCATAGGTGAGGGAAAATAGGAGGAGGGAGAGCTCCGTGTGCTGCTGTGAACTCCTGAGTGAAAGACAATATATAAATCAAATAAGTATATTTCACACTGATTCCAGCTAACTGCTTGAAAATTAGTCCGTTGTTGATGAGAATAAAATCTAATAATAATAAAAAATAATAAAGTAATTAAGAATTAATAATAAAAATGCGACAGAGTAAAGACAGAACTAGCAAAATGAACAAGGATTATATCTGGAAACTATAGGTTTGTCAGAATTGCTAGGAAAAAATAGAATAAAAAAATGTAATTATAGACACGGATAGTCCTCGATTTATAACCATCACTTAGCAACCATTTGAAGTCACAAAGGACCAACGGGGGGGGGGGGGGCTACTTACTACCTGGNGGGGGGGGGGGGGGGGCTACTTACTACCTGGATTTGAAATTCTAATAATTGTCCCTGTTATGTGAACAAACTTCAGGCACTAGGCAACCAGGCCATATTTACAACTGGGGAGAAGAGTTGCAAGCAGCACCTTGCCTTTGAGTAACTTGTTGGTGTGCCCAGGGCAAAAAAAGATTTCCATTTCATTTATATTAAAAATTACCTCATGAAATAACAGCTAACGCAGTCACTTCTCATGTAGTTTTACACTAAAAATTAAAAAAACGGCCAGCCAGAGTCACCTGGCAGTTTATATTGGGCAGCCATATAAACGTACTTAATACAGGTGGTCCATGATTTACGAGCACAATTGGGCCCCAAATTTCTGTTGCTAAGTGAGACATCTGTTAAGTGAATTTTGCCCCATTTTACGACCTTTCTTGCCACAGTTGTTACGAGAATTACTACAGTCGTTACTACGAGAATTACTACAGTCGTTACTAATGCTCAGTGAATCTGGCTTCCCCACTGACTTTGCTTGTGAGAAGGTCACAAAAGGTGATCCTATGACCCCGGGACACTGCAAACCGTCGTAAATCTGAATCAGTTGCCAAATGTCTGAATTTTGATCACATGACCATGGGGATGCTGCAAAGGTCGTAACTATGAAAAACGGCCATAAATCGCTTTTTTCAGTGCCGTTGTAACTTTGAAAGATCACTGAACAAACTGTTGTAAGAAGAGGACTACAAGTAACCAAAATAAACATTACAGCTGATTGTTTAGAGCAGCTCTGGATCCACACCAGGACCTTCGGAGAACGATGTCTTTCAGCTGGAAATGAAAACTCAGAAGGTGCCTCCTCTGGAATGCTGGGCCTGAAGACACAACTGACTCAACATCCCTTGCTGAAGCTAAGCTGGACTGACAGGATCGATGGCCGGATAAGAGACCCCAGGAATGTTCAAAACATTCCGTCATAGAACAGTCTGACCTTGGAACAGGTTGCCCTGAGTGTTCTAGAAGGGTTGGAATGGCCTGTTCCCTGCTTGGAGAATTCCACGATGGAAAGTTTTGCAGGCCCCTAGAAGATGACCCACAGCCCATAAAAGTTCCACGAAGGGGAAAGGAAGCGAGGTGCCAGTGGGGGTGTTTGCTTTCCCATAAACCATCCGTGGGACACACTGAGTGATATTGTGGCCCGATGTGTCAAGTGGAAACGAAATGGTCAGTTGATCTCGATCCAGATCTCCTCCTGTCTGGAATATTTCACATTCCTCTGAGATTTTTCTGGGGGGGGTGGGCTGTTATTTTCTCAGTCTGACAACTAACAATTAAAGAACAATTAACCAGTGGAATAATCTGCCTCCAGAAGCTGTGAATGTTTCAACGCTGGAAGTTTTTAAGAAGAGACTGGACAGCCATTTTTCTGAAATGGTGTAGGGTTTCCTGCCTGAGCAGGGGGTTGGACTAGATGACCTCCAAGGTCCCTTCCAACTACTTCTTCTTCTTCTTCTTCTTCTTCTTCTTCTTCTTCTTCTTCTTCTTCTTCTTCTTCTTCTTCTTCTTCTTCTTCTTCTTCTTCTTCTTCTTCTTCTTCTTCTTCTTCTTCTTCTTCTTCTTCTTCTCCTCCTCCTCCTCCTCCTCCTCCTCCTATTATTATTACTATTATTATTACTATTACTATTATTACTATTACTATTATTATTATTTAGTGGCAGAACATCACTACAGCAGAGAAGAAGTGAGAGTCCTGTTCCCAATCTTAGAGGCAGAACCCTCTATAATCCAAGTAATCAAAGAGAGAAGCTAGCTAGAACCAAGGAGAAATTTCCTAACAGCGAGAACAATTAACCAGTGGAATGGCTTGCCTTTGGAAGATGTCGGTTTTTCATCACTGGAGGCTTTTGAGACTGGACAGTCACCTGTCTGAAATGGTATAGGGTCTCCTGCTTGAGCAGGGGGGTCGGACTAGAAAACCTCTTAAGCCCATAGGAAGACTGGAAACAGGAATTTTAGTTCTTTTCTGGGCAAATAAATTGCTCTTAGTTGTTACGACTAATGGGCAATCGTAGACAAGAATGTTCTGATCTCTCTATAAAGCTGTGCTATTCAACGGCTGTGTCTACATATCGAAGAGAGAAAATCCATCAGTGAATAATATATTTGACAAAGAGAACCTCATTTTTTCTTCAGTACTGAATGCTATCACCAGACAATTTCAATTTCTTTCTAGTTTTTTTTCCTCAGGTGCTTTTCTTAGCAATTTACCTTTTGAGCTGAATTCCAAAAAGCTTCCCACATTTTGGACAGGAGAGGGGAATCTTGAAAGAATCCAATTTCTGAGTCATGTTGTTGATTATTGAATCAATTATCTTTGGGATTTGTATGTTTAGATTCAAATTTCTGATGGAACTCACTCAATTGGTGGCCTCCCTCTTCTTGTATATGAAATGAGAGCGCCTCCTAATGGAAAATACAGAAACATCAGAATTCTTGAACCAGTTAGTTAGGTGACTGCATCTAATTTTCTGCTTGGGCCTTGAATGTGGGTTAATACAGTGCCAGACATATAAAACAAAACAAATATACTTAAAAAAAATAATACAAGGACAGACAGATGCCTGCCTAGCTTCTCTCTGAACACATCTGGTAAAAGGACCCACACCTTGTCTTTGAGAAACAGTTTCACTGTCAAACTTTTTCCTAACATCCAGTTAGAATCTGTCTTCCTGCAATTTAAATCCATTATATTGTTTTATTCAGTTTTAAATCCATTGCAGTACAAGTAGTCCTTGACTTGCTTCCAACCGTTTGTTTGGTGGCCGTTCAAAATTACAGCACTAAAAACATGACTTATGACTGGGCCTTGCACTTAAAACAGTCACGTGATCAAAACTTGTTCCCTTGGCAACCGGGCATGTATTTACAATGGTTGCTGTGTCCCTGGGGTCAAGTGATCATCATTTGCGCCGGCTTCCGACAAATAAAGTCTGTGGGAATCACTTAACAGCTGCAGTGGTTCTCTTAACAATCGTGGCAAAAAAAAAAAGGTCCTAAAACCGGGGACTACAGGTAGTCCTCGACTTACAACGGTTCGTTTAGTGACCATTCAAAGTTACATTGTCACTGAAAGAAGTGACGTACGGCCATTTTTCACACTTAACGACCGTTGCAGCATCCCCACGGTCACGTGATCAAAATTCAGATGCTTGGCAACGGACTCATATTTATGACGGTGGCAGTGTCCCGGGGGGGGGTGTCATGCGACCTTCTGACGAGCAAAGTCAATGAATGGGGAGGGAAGTTTCGCTTAACAACCGCGTTACACATTTACCAACTGCAGTGGTTCACTTAACCACCGTGGCAAGAAAAGTCGTAAAGTGGAGCAAAACTCACTGAACACTTAATGTTTCACTTAGCAAGAGAAATTTTGGGCTCAGTTGTGGTCGTAAGTTGAAGACTACCTTACCTATATTGACTTCCCAGTCGCCATGCTTAGCGACCGAAATTGTAGTATCAATGGTGGTCGTAAGTCGAGGACTACCTGGAATGTTTTTTCAACCTTGGCAACTTCTTTAGTTCAAGATTTATCAAGAAATGCCTCTTGGTAATATTAGCCTGACTTTAAACCTGTTATAAGCAACAAAGGAGTCACATCCAACACGTGTCATTGTTTTATTGACTTTCTTCTGGCTGTTATTCATTGCATGATTAGGTCATAGTTGAGCCAATAACATACTGGGTTCTTATGCTGATAGTCATCAAATCAACAACCTTTCATTTAGCAATCCTCTGAAGTTAGCAATGGTACTGAAAAAAGTTACTTACGACCAGTGATCCTCGCACTTACAACCATCGCAGCAGCCCCACCGTCATGGGATAAAAATTCGAATACTTGGCAGCCAACAAGTCTTTACAATGGTTTTAGCATCCTGGGGGTCGTGTGGTTGCCATTTCCAACCATCCTAGCTGGCTTCCAACGAGCAAAGTCAACTCACGTAACAACCGCCTTGCTTAGCAACAGAAATTGTGGTCCCAATTGTGGCCGTAGGCTGTAGGTGTGTATCTGGGGGTCTGCATTCACTACCAAGAGTATTTTTCAGCCCTTTCACGTTTTTCCTTCCACAGCTAAGTGTCGGTATGCGCTTGGCATGCAGGATCGGACCATCCCAGATGAAGCTCTCTCGGCCTCAAGTTCATGGTCTGATTCAACAGCTGCAAAACACAGCAGGTGAGGAAGGTATCCCGCTGTTTAATTTGCGTGACGTAATCAATTCAAACACATTTGTTTATTGATGCATACTTTCTCTGTTTAAGATAAAAGTTCCCAGTGGCTACTGGAAATTCCCATTCAGCATGTACACATATTCAAATGTACCACATCTTAGGGCAGTGGTGGCGAACCTATGGCACGGGTGCCGGAGGCAGCACTCGGAGCCCTCTCTGTGGGCACACGTGCCGTTGCCCCAGCCTCGCCTCCCCCCACGACCCCCACCTCTCCAGCAGCCTCCCTGAAGGAGAGTCGCCCCCGAGCGTGGCCCACGCAGAGCAGCGCAGCCAAGAACATGGCAGCCAGGCAGCGTAGACTCTGCCCTCACACCCCATTGTGCACAGTTGATTCTGCAGGGCGCGGGCAGAGGGCGTAACTGCCATAGTGCTGCTGGGCTGCCTGGGTGATCTGCGGCGGGCCCTGGAGGCGGTGAGTGGCCCTGCGGGCAGGCGGGGTGGGGGACAGGGGGTGGAGTGGGGGCGGGGCAGGGGCTGGAGTGGGGGCAGGGCCAGTTTTTGGGCACCCGGTCTCTAAACAGTTCACCATCACTGTCTTAGGGATTAGGAACTTGACATTTATTTACACTTGAAACGTTGAGTTGGATTGGTGCTCAGTACAAAAATATCTGTAGCTGAATGATCTGCATAGTGACTCTAAGAGGGACTTACTTGCTATTGTAATCTGTTAGTTGCATTTATAGAAATTAGTAACTGGATAGAAGCCTATGATTTCCGATATATAGTTTCTAGGCCAGATTCGTTTTCATTTATGAAACTTAAACTATCTTAAAGTTATCCGTTGTGAGAATCGATTTATAAAGGAAAACCACAAATGTTCCTTGACATGACAAGGAATCGCCAAAAGTTTTTTTTTAAAATCAGATTTGCAGATTGGGGAGAACTAGCTAATACCAACAGTATCCATAACAACCCACAGGAATGTTAATGTGTTTATTTGTACATCAGGATGCCCAATGGGCAAAAGACACAATTATGTAAATTACAGATATTTTACTTATTTATTAAGAAAGTGCATATGGCTACCCAACTTACAGTGATCCTGGCAGCTTACAGAAGAAACACCTCAAATACAAAATCCAATAACAATGAAACAAACCATATTGATGGGCTTCATATTACCTTGAGTCTCCGGGTCTGCTGACCAAACCATGTCAAAACAATTATCAAGTGGGGGCCAATCTTAGTTCCACAGGGAGGGAGTTTCCACCAAATGGACCTCCTTAAGAGAGAGGGTCCAGAAACATAGCCTGCCTCCCCACTCTGGTGAATCAGGTAGATGTAACTGGGAAAAGACAGACTACAAGCAGTTCAGATTGTGTCACAATGTCCAGGGCAAGTAAGTCATGTCATTTGCATAATAATGTCATGATGCATGGATCAACATTCCCCCTGCTCCCCGAAGGTTCACGGCAAACACCCTGAAAGACCGAAACAAAATTCAAAATAAGCTGGATGGATGTATTAAAGAAGCCTGCTCCACCCACTTTAAAAATATCTCCCCACTCCTTAGGTTGGTGCAAGTGTTTTTCAAACTTGGCAACTTTAAGATGTGTGGACTTCAACTCCCAGAATTCCCCAGCCAGCCACATCCCCCCCCCTCTCCTTCCAATGCTAGGTAATTCTGGGAGCTGAAGTCCACACATCTTAAAGCTGTCGAGGTTGAGAAACACTGGGTTAATGTGTGCAGTAATTGTATACCTCCTTTAAATCAGAGATAGGGAAAGTTGTGTGTGTATGGATGCATTTCATTGTGACTCCATGAATGGATGGATGGATGGATGGATGGTTTGACCCTGGTTGGACAAACCAGCAGGTTGAAAACACAAAGGTTTTTTGGAAAATAAACCAAAATGCAGAGATTATAGGATGGGGGTTGGACTAGATGACCTCCAAGGTCCCTTCCAACTTCTTCTTCTTCTTCTTCTTCTTCTTCTTCTTCTTCTTCTTCTTCTTCTTCTTCTTCTTCTTCTTCTTCTTCTTCTTCTTCTTCTTCTTCTTCTTCTTCTTCTTCTTCTTCTTCTTCTTCTTCTTCTTCTTCTTCTTCTT